ATGAGGGAGAGTTGATCTCAACCTCTAGCTTCTTCGGCAGGTGTACAAATATATATATATATATCGGTCGGTTGCGGTTGTCGACGGCTTTGGATTCCTGCAATCGCAGCCGCATCCACAGTATTTCAGCTCGGTTGTCCAACCGCAACCGGTCATTGACCGGAAAAGTCAACGGTTTGCCAACTGGAAATATCGGTCGGAAACTGCCGGTTTCTGGTATTTGCGGTCCAACCGCACAACGCTAATACAATCCATCCATAAATTCAAGCTTCATAATAAGTATAATTATTTTCTTCCCTTCCAACCATAAGATAGCCCAAAATAGGGAGTTTTCATTATATATAAAAATGTCATACATATTAGAAAGATCAACATATTCATTGTCAAGTTACACTTATCCAAATGGAAATGAAGGGAAATTGTACTATCATAGTATAATTATACTTCAAAATCCTTGTCAAGCATGGTCTAGAAAGTTGGTTAGTTACATTTCGTGTAAAAGAACATGGAAACCAAATTCCCTACAATACAGAAACAAATTTGATAAAATAGGAGTGCAAGCATTGTCAAACTTCCAATTTTAGAAACACTAGTTGAAGAACTTGTTCTTGCAGATTAGATCAACAAATAATCATATAAATATCAAAAAGTTGAATAATATTTATTCAAATAGAAAACTAATGAAAAATATTGAGAACAAAATCTCACACCTTGATCAGCTTTCCCAAAATCTATAGGCCAGGGGAGGGTCACAATCAAGCCAATGACCAAAATTGAGAAGTTAAACAATTAGTAATTAACAATTTGTTCAAGATGTCATCAATCTGCATAAAATAAGCCTGCAGAGGTATTACTGGCCAATTAGTATATAGCTCCACTAAAATAAGACAAAGAAGTACACCAATGTTATACCTCAATTAAAGGTCACCCAACTAACTGGTGAAGATGTAGCAACCAACTTTCTTGATAAGTAAAGGTCAATGATATCATCATAATCATCCAATAGTTGTTCAAGCTCATCCATTACCTGCAATAAGAAATACATGATTACCTATTGCAATGATTTACAGTAGTAAAGGGAACACAAATATGTTCTCTTTATAGATATCAGCTAAAAACAGCTTTCAATTTGAGCCACAAAATCCCTTATTCACATTATTGCAGTATTGCTTTCATGCACAAAAGAGACTGGTAAAAGTATAATTGGAATTGTGGTTTATAAAATTTCTTATTATTGCAGGAATTTATAACTGAAATATTGTCCTTACTTGGCCACTCCAAGTAAGATCAACACACAACTTCAAACACCCCATGTTAGCCTTGGAACGCTCTCAAGGGAAAGTTGACTGAGACAGACTCCACTCTAATTGGTTGTACAAATTTCTCGCATTAGCAAATATAAGTCCCAAGTTGGTCTTCAAGTGCTAGCTCTGAGTCAAAAAAAATATTTTGCATAAAATTGAGCAAGACAAAGTAGTTTTTGCTTATCAAAAGCCAAGAATGAATCATCTTGCCTCAAACATGGCATACAAAAAAGGAACTTGGTATTTAACTCATTGAAGATATTATTTAATCCTTGAAGTTCTTTATCAATGACTGTATAAAAGAGACCAACACGATAATAATGAAGGTTTGTCATTTCCTCCACTCTATGTTGTGATCTTCCTTGAGTTACGAACACATCATCTATGTTGAGAATGTCAATATTAGGCTTGCTACAAAATGAATAAATTTTTTTTTTGGTCAAGGTAACTCCATTCATTAAGAGAGAGAAGCATTACAAAAAAATATAACCCTAAACTAAATGAAGCCCATCACCAACAACTAAAGTAGAGATGATAGGATCCGCCCCAAATCCCTCGGAACCCAAGACAAATCCTATGGTAATTCCGACATCATATTGATGCCGGCCAACAACTAAAGACACGAGACTTTCTGCTAAAATTTCAGTAGAGTCTCCCCTGAAAAATGAACATTCCCAAATTTTCTCAACCTATTAAAATCACAATTAATAACTCCATTTGGCAACATGCACAAGTTAAAATTCATGCAATTTACATAGATGGCCTCCGACCTCACAAATCAAACTCTAGTACAGGCGATAATAGAGCAATCTAAGAGTTTGGATTTACAAACGATAACAAAGTTTAACGGGTAAGGAATGAAAAAAGCTTATACTACTGAAACTCGAGGTTCGGAGGCTTAGGGCTCGGCTCTGCTGCTCAACTCAGTCAACTACTGTCTGGGGGGTGCAAAACAAAAGGCGTGTGAGTGGACAAAAACAAAGTTTGATTTAGTTTGCAAAACAACATACTAACCCCACCATTTGGAAAATAATGCCAAAAACATGCAATTGATACCATATTTACATAATCATTGTGAGATTAAAATGTTCTCACTTCCCCGAGAACATATGATAACATCCAAACCAAAACCTTTGACTACAATCCAAATGTTTCCGAATAATAGACTTATCAACGACATAGGTAAGAATGACTTTAAAAATATTCCATTTATACATATATATATATACACACACACACACACACATATATGCTACTATAAATAGTTATGTATCTATATGCTACCATAACACATACTATATAGGTATATACCTCACATGCCATAAGTATATGAGGTGTACGATATACATATTATATACATATATATAAGAGTATCACACCAATTCGAGTACCAGGGAAAACAATCCAACAAGGGAATTGTTTGGCTAGTCCGCAAGGTTTCAACTTTCTACCTAGCGTCTAGGGATGAGCGGTCCAACCGGGGCCGAACACTCTACAGCACACACGCTGAAATTTCCAACGCCACATGTGGCCAAAACCAAACACTAAGTCCTATGAGCACAGACAACTTTCACACACTGGATAATACAACGTCATGTGTGATAAGCTAATAACATAACCATATATGCCCACATGCCAGATAATCCAATGCCACGTGTGCGTACAATAACCACGGGAGAGTACTTAGCATGGTGTAATCCCATATTCACATAACCAAACAATAAAGTACCCCAAACTCATATTTATCTCTTGCCCAATCATATAATCACAAGGGGAATAACAATTTCTCAACTTATATAATCCATATTCCGAAAAATCATAACTTCAGATATCAACATAGTATTCAAAATTCAATGATATACATATATATATATATATGTATATATATCCTTTCCAAAATCATGAAAATTCATATGAGGCGCCTGGTGATTTAATCAATAAAAATAATGCTATTTCAAACACTGTCTACTCACAAGTAGTCCCACGCTGCTTGACCCTAATAGGGTCCTGCCTGCTGCGTACGCATGGTCAGAGTACCTACTTTAGAATACGAGTACGAAATTAATATAAAACGCTTCGAACGAGAACTTTAAATTAAAATCCTAGTTTCCCAGGTTTCAAGTATAGGCACAAGGAACGAGATGTTCCTAAGGTCCAACTACATGTTTTGGATGGTGGGATAGCCTCAGAAGACGCTCGATCAACCGGGCAGTCAAACTTTCCAAATCTGGTCAACGGGGCCCGCAGGGCCCAAGACCTCCATTTTACGATCCGCAAGTTCCTATAGGTTCAACAAGTTTTACTAAACATGTCATGCAAGTTTGGTCCAAATCAAACGATTGGATCGCTCGTGATCGTACGATCGAACGGTTATCGTTTAACACGAACTTTAAGTTATTGATCGGAACATCCGGGGTCCCGATTCCCTATCCGTGAATCCCCACACGATCCTAGAGATGCCTAGATCAACATATATAAAATTGGAGTCGATCCAATGGTCCAAACATATCTAACCCAGATAACGCCTAATATGGATATGCGATCAACAATCAAACGATAACCAAATTCATATCCGAGCATACCGTCGTGCTTGGGACGACATGAGATTATTTTAGAACCCAAAAACCAGCCACAAAGTGGCCCACGCGCCGCCACACCTCCGGCAGCGCGTGGGTGTTCAAAGCCATCCCAGTGACCGGAAAATCTCCAAACCGCCGATCAAGGCTTATACCTACATGATTAGGACATTAAGTGGAGCAACTTTTGTTCTTGGACCAACCCCAAAAAGTGGCCAAAAGTGGCCAAAAATGGCCGGAATCCCGAGCCGAAAACTGGCCAAATTTCAGCGATAAATTGACAACTAAAACACAAAAATTGATCCTAAACAACCCAACCATCAGCTATAACACATTTAGAGGATGGAAAAGCATACCTAGATCGCAAAATTTGGTGGACGAACGTCCAAACGAGCTCCGAAAATTATGGGTTAAAATCGAGCGTAATTTTGTAGTTTTCGGCAAAAACGGCGATGTTGGTGGTTGGGACCAAGTGGGATGGAGAGAGGAGGTGGTGGCGGTTCGTTTGGTTCCGGCCCTGTGGCCGGTGGCGGGCTGTGGTGGTGGTGGTGGCCACAAAGGCCGTCAGCTGTTTCACAAGGGGGGTTTGTCGCAACGAGAGAGAGAGAGAGAGAGAGAGAGAGAGAGAGAGAGAGAGAGAGAGAAATGAAAGGGAAAATCTGATTTTTATTAAACCCTCTTCGAATTATTTAAGGTTTTGCCATTATGTTTCTTTTTATCATAACTTCTTCGTTACAACTCCTATTTGAGCCCACTACGTGTCTACGAACTCATCTCGGCACGATCTACGCAATAGTACCATCCATTTCCCCAAAATCCTTCTGGATTAAAAAGTGACCAAATTATCCCTAACCCAGAAGACAAAGTTGTAATTTCATGATTTATTAAATTAATTAAAGTAACGAATAATTATATTTTGGGTCGGGATGTTACATGAGAGGCCCAGCATAAAGATACAAAACATAAAATTAACCAAGTTGACGCCCAAATAAACAAATAAAGCCATAAATACATCAAACAAAAAACCTAGATGAGGAAAACATGTACTTCCACACCACCAAGTGCACCACCAACAGCTCCCCATTGCATATCCATCACCACCACCAAGGAGTAACTGGTACTAAGATGTAGCAAAGATTCGAACAGAAAATGGGGGTGAGCAAGCCACTAGCATAGAAGTGCGCATAGTCCAAGAAACTAGTGCAAACTGCATTGTAATCGCATCCTCATTGAGGAAGAGCGACGAGAGCGGCAACAGTGGAACTGAGGAGCGAAGGGCGATGATTGAGAACCATCGAGGACCAATCGTAGACAAGAGGTGGACTACATCAAAATAGAGGGGGGATGATGGGATTGTGGATATAAGAAGTGGAGGGTGAAGAGGGATGGTGGGTGGGGGAGAAAGGAAGGGGAGATAGTACATATTAAGGTTTTGTAGGATTGGGCTTAAAAGAAGGGAAAAAATAGAAAAAGGAAAGAAATCAAAATAAGAGGCAAGAAGCCCCAAATATGAGACATAGCTCAAGGGAAAAACACCCATTTTGAGTAGGCCTAGCATTCGTGTCATGTTTGTAGTGTTCATGTAAACCCGCTTTTCTTAACGGGTTGACACGAGATGACACAATAAGAAAATGGGTGGAAAATGTCAAACACAAACACCACCCATTACAATTCGCAAATCACACGACATCACCCGTTTCACACATTAAGAATTAAAAAAATTGAAAACAAAAAACATCACGTACAGAACCACTGCGCAGCCTCCTTTTTCCTCTTTCTCTCCTCCTTCCCCAATCCATAAACCTTCATTAATGACCCAACATACCTCTCCTGGGCTTAACCCAAGAGAATCGAACTATGAATATATCAATTCAAGCACCTTTTAAAAACTGAAAAACACTCATTAATCACATCACCCTATCAACTTCACAAAATACCAACCCCAGATCCATATAACCAAAATTTCACAAAACATAATAAATTAAAACCAATAAATCACAATTGGAGTTACATGATATAAGCAAATCAGCAACAAACCCAAAAAACGAAAAAATTGCAAAAAGAAGAAGAAAAAATCGACAACCAATGAGAGAGAGAGTTCGCTTAAGGAGGAGAGAGAGAGAGAGAGAGAGAGAGAGAGAGAGGAACAAAAAAGAAAGCTATGTTTAGTTAATGAGAAAAATAATGAAAAGACGAGAAACTTATAGAGAGAAAGACAGTGGGAGAGTCGGGGGAATAGGGGAGGAAGAGAAGAAAGAGAAGGAGAAAAAAAAGAAAAAAGAAGAAAGATATAAATTTACAAAAATACCCCTGAGCTTAATGAGTTAATAGATATTCGTGAATTGACACGACACGACACAACCAGTTAGCTTAACATGTGGCTAACGAGACAACAGGATATCAACACGACATGATAACCCGGACCCAAATACTGAATTTTTTTGCGAATTCGTGTCGTGTTAACAGGTCGTATAAGATATTGTCAAGTCTAATTTCGAGTAAAGATGAACTAACGACTGTCAAGATGGGAGAGGAGAAGTAGAGATCGCAGTTCTTGCTCTATATCAAGCAAAATATCTCATTTACTATCTCTCATTGTGTGCAATTGTTGCTTACAAGCTGTCACCAAAGCCAAATCATTTGCAATTGGTTTTCTTCTTTTTCTTTTAAAAAAATCAATTGGGACGCTCAAGTAATTTAATAAAATGAGAGTAACAATGTAAGAAATCATTACATATAAGTAAAAATATTTAAAAGATAAAATAAAGAGATTTTTATAGAGATGTGACCTGAACTTATACCTCAATTGTTTTTTAAATCTATGATGTGTGATCTGACTTCAACACCATTCAATTTTCCATTTATTAACGGAGGGTAAAATAAATTCAGTTTCTTGAACCAAAAAGAGATTTCTCACGAAACAGTTATCCCCTTTCCTTTTCTCCCCGCACGTTCTTCTTCCTCAGTTTCTTCTCTCCCCTGAATATTGGGTTCCCTTCCCTCCACTCCTGTTTGTGAGTCCGATTTGAGCATCAGAATGAAATGCGCAATAGAATAGAAAGTTGTAACTTGTATGCATGCGGCCTTGATAAAGTCTGCAGAAACCTCCAACACTAGGACAGAATTCGCAACCTTCTCCAGCTCTATCAGGTACTTCTTCTCTTTTTCCCTCTTCTGTGCTTTTATTCATTCATTTGCTTCTTTTACACTATTGAGAAACTTATGATTACTGGAAAATCGATTATATGCAAAGGGGTGTTCATTAGTTTTTTTTTGGGGGGGCCCTGATTATAGAATTTATTAATATTCGCTCAGTAATGATGTACATAGCTTAAAATTTCAAGTGGCATTCCTCAAACTTCCACATTTCTCCACAGAATCTCTGATTTTCCAGCTCTGTCCAGGGACTAGGTTTCCGTGCGATTGAGAATGAAGACTGAGGCGAGTGAGAGTCGGAGCAATTGCTCGTCTTCAACCGAGGTATGCATTGAGCAACGTGTTGTCATGCAAAAGTTAATATTTGGTATATTCAATGCCCCATTTGATTCAATTTCAACAGGTAGAATCCGGTTCACAAGGCAAGTCAGAGAAGGACTGTGAAATGGAGATGAGTTCCAAAGGCTCCGACCCTGCAATCTGGGAAGAAATTGAGCTTTCCGAGAGGTCGGTTTTGCTTTAATTTCATTACCCATTTAATAATACAATACTATCTCCTATTCTGTCTCCAATTGTTTATTGTGATAATTTTCAGCTACCTTGTTTGCTCAATGTATGAGGAGGCAGCGTCATCAGCCTCCTCTATTTTGAAGCGTCTTTCTAAACATAGTGAAGACCTTGAAGCCACAGACCATTTTGAATTGTATGACATGTTGGAATCGGCTGGTATGGTGCTTGTCCAATCCTTAAGAGAACTTGGAAGGTATGTTCATCTACTCTTTTAAGTGTAGCTTCAATCTTTGTGGAATTGATTGATTGCACCGCTGAAAATATCTAAAATCACATTTTTACTCCTTTCATTGTGTATGTTAAATTCTTTTTCAGTCTTTTCCTTTAGGTAATTTCTATATATTATGCAATCACTTCAGAATTGATGTAAATTACTATGGCTGAGATTTTTATAAATTTCCAAGGAAGTTAATGATTTAGTGGGCTTTCTATGTAGTTCAAAAGTAATGTGTTCTTTGGAATACATTCATCCTGCTATTCCATTTCAACTGCTCATTGATTGTTTATCTTTAAGAAATTCTCCTAGTTATCCTTTTTCATAATGAATGTGACTTAATTTGGGTTGATGCAGGACATCAGAAATTATGCACGAGCTCAAACTATTATTTGCTTTTGTTCCTACTATCCCTGTTCAAGTTCTTCTCACTGGGTACTCTTATCTCCAGCTCAAGTTATCCATATTCGGATTCTTTGTTTGATAAGTATTTAAAATGCCTTTTTGGAAGTTTGTCGATTTCATATTGTTTGATTCTAAAAGCATCATTGGAAATTGTGGTCTTCAAAATTTCTGTCTGAATTTGTTTTTCAGGATATGTTTTTATTTATCAGAAGGGCACTCTCTTGGTGTTCAAGAATTTCTGGAAGAGTTCCTTAGCAGGTGGACTTTTGTCAATGAACAATATGTTCTTGTTGGTACAGAAGAAAATGCAGATTGCACGGAAAAATGTGATGGGCCTTTTCTTTTGGGAGTTGATAAGTATCTAGAAGTTGTTGAGGTCTATGTTCTGAAACTTCTGGGAACCATTTTGAATGATGTTGACCTTGCATCCTCTTGGGTCGAGAATGCTAAATTACCTGAGGACAGAAGACAGGTAAATAATCTAAGCATCATATGTTTGATTCTGTACCACGAGAATTAATTGAAGTGGTATTATTGGTTAAGTTCACTCTATGTCTATACAAATTTCACTCTTCTTTGCTTTTTGTTTTATTTTTAGAAGGCCTTTCTTTGTGAAATTGGAGACAAAAGCTTGTTGTGGGGTTGAGATACTCTTTCTGAGTGAGGTTTCCTATATGGTATTGTACCACAAATAGCAGTGTCATGCTAGAGAAACTCTGTTGTCTAGATATGGTTTGACTGAGATTCAGAAGACACTGTCTCTACAATGTTAGAAGGGCAACGCCTTTCTGTCTGCTGAAAGGGTCTTTAGACACACACAAGTACATAAGACATTTTCTGGTTGAACTTAGTGCTTGAAAAATGAGCTTTTTCCTTATAACAAGTTGAGATCATGTTGCGTATCCTATTCTTTGTGCTACGCCACTGAATTTCGCAAGACACTCAGTGGTCCAACCCCAAGCTGTCATCAAATTTAATTTCAGTATTCTTACACATATTTCCTGGTACTCATATGCGGTAATTGAGTAACATATTTCTTTTTCGACGAAGTGAAAAGGTCATGTGGTTTTAAATTATTTTGAGAACTGGAAACCGTCCAAATAAATGCAAAACCTTTCACTTTTTATATTAGTCTATTTATGGGAGTACTATGTCTCTGCCATTTTTACGTGGTGAGTAGCACTCCTTATTGAGTACAAGTATGGCTCACTCACTTATTGAAGAAGTTTTCTTCCCATGTGATATGACAGTGTCCTTTAACTTCTTTCTTTTCTTGAATTATTGACATATTGCTAAGTTGCGTTATTTAACTTAATTTAAAATGGTATATTCAGTTGATCGAATTTTTAGGTTAAAAGAAATTGATACCACTTCAGTTTCTTCCATGTGTTTTCCTAGGTACTTCTGAGAAGATTACACTCACTGCATTCTGTTAAAGCCACTAATTCCTCACAAGGTACCTTCTCATCTTTGCTGGTGGACGACAATGAAGCTCATTCATCATGTTTGCAGCAGATAACTGTGCCAGATGGATATCCAAAAACCAAATACCCCCCAAAGGGAGACACTGCTAAGAACCAAGCAGTTTTTAATTTATCTAAAAGATTGGAACCATGTTTCTGGTGGTTCCGTACCATCACTCTGAAATTTGGAAGTGCTCGGGTGGTAATATCTAATGGAAAGATTGTCCTGGGCTTCTTGATTCTGCTCATATATTATGTTTTCCGGAGGAAACAAGCTACCATAAAGAGGTGAGATATTCTCTCTTCATAGTCAACATGTATGCATTCAATGTCCATGGTGATGATATTGGTTCCATTCCCTCTAGTCATCATCTAAGATAGTTGCCGCCTAGACATGGGTTAGCTTCTGTATGGTAAATTCACTTGTTTTCATGAAATTAGTCAATATCCTTATTTTGGTAAAATGGACCTGTTGTCTGAAATTAATCAATAGCCTTTTTTTGGTAAAATGGATCTGTTGCATGAAATTAATCAATAGCCTTTTTTTGTTTCTCGCTGCTCTGATAATGCTGTGGTCACTGCCCGGGTGGACAGTTCAGTAATTTTTTGAAAAACAAAGGTCACTTTAACTTGTTACTTCTATACTTCTTTTAGTTACGAACGCTGATTATCTGCACTCAACTGGTTGCCCCTCTTTCCCTTGTGCAAATTTGACTAGTGAGTTGGATGACACCTCATTAGCCATACAAAATTATTAATAATGCTGGATAATTGTTTGAAATTATTTAGATGACAACAAACAAGCAGAAATATTTGTCAGTGTCTTATGTGGATACGGATGATTCACATGATATATAATAAAGAATTGAATTTGATAGGATAATACTGAAAATGTGTTAATATCTGATTTGTAGGACCTTTTTGAATTTGATTTCTCCGAAGGACACCACTTGTGTCCGCCCATTCTTAATACTTCATTTGGAAGCTTGAAGAGATTCACCTTCATTTATGTTAACAGGAGAGCAGAGTTACTCAGGTGTTATTATTGTTTGCAAAGAAATTTTTACAAGGTTAATATTCCAAAATAGCTTTGATATATATTAATTATTCTCAATGAAAACTTATGCTCAAACCACAGATATCTATGTTATATTTTATGTTGTATAAATCCAAAAGACTCATTACAATTCGGCATGTCTAGATTTGTAGGAGTTGGCTGTTGGACATGTTGTGTGCTGGTTGACACACAACACTAATGTTCGTATGCATGATTGATTTGAATGCTTATTTATTTATCGTAACACCTCCATGTAGAATTGGACTGGTGTTTTGGTGTGACATCATGATATAACAATGACTGACGCGTCACTTGTTTACTGAAGATATATATATGTTACTTGTTCAGTTCTGTTTATTGGTTTTCCTAAATGGAGAATGCACTGATAGACTTTACGGATTTGATGTTTAAATTATTATGTTTCATTCAGAATTGTTCGGAGACAAACTTTATCAATGAAGAATGCTCTGGTAGACTTGTGGCAGCTTGCATTTTCATACCAGGTGAATCCTTTAGCTGCTGTTCAACCTCTCGCGACTGCAACAAGGTCAGGCCAGTGATAAAGCTTTAGACATTCTCCATTGAGGATTCTTTGCTATAACAACCAACCGCTAACAGCAGAACATTCTCTTCAGTGAAAATGCAATAAGTATGAACAAATCCTGGTCAGAGTGCTATTAGTATGCACCAAATTCGCAGTGATTGTGCTATTTTACCAGTGCAATATAGCTTCTGACGTTGGATTAGGAAACCATATTTTTGCTATTTTGTTTTGGTTGGGTTTTTATAGGTCACATCACGTGTAGATTTAATGATCTCTTTTTAGTACGTTTCAAAGATGAATTGCAGTTTTAAATTAACGAAACATTATACATAAGCCAGCAACATAAAGAAAGAAAGAAAATCGAATGGCATTTACTGAGTTGAGGCAAATGACTGGTTTATTGATAGCTATAAACTCTTTTAGTTTTGGATAATCCTGAAAACTGAGAATAATTCCTACTTGGATCCAATTTTATAAACTCAAAAACAGATTTTAAGTTCAAAACCACAAAAACCCGTTTGGTAAACCCATTTTTAAAAATTCAAATCCAAGAAAAACTCAAAAACACCCCATTATTAAAAACCAAAAAAGTCCTCTCACCTCTCTCTCTCTCTCTCTCTCTCTCACTCTCTCACGTCGTAATCTCTCCTCCCTCTCTTCACGCTCTCTCTCTCTCTCCTCCCTCGCCCGTCTCTTTCTCTTCTCCTCCCTCTCTCGTCTCTCTCCTTTCTCTCACATCTCTCCCTCTCCCATCTCTCTCTCTCTCTCTCTCTCTCTCTCGTTAATTTCAATTTGGGAATTTTTTTAGATTTTAAAAGTAGTTTGGAGTTCAATACCAAACAAATTTTTAAATCTTAAAATCACAATTTAAAAACTCATATTAAAAAAAAAACATAATTTTTGAATTTATTTTTTGAGTAGGATACTGTACAGCGCCTTAATTCTTTCTTTGTTTTCTAAAAATATATAATTGGGTTGTGCTAATATGGATTCATGTTCACTCTGATTCGAAGTTAGTAAACATGCTTTGCCATGAGATGAGATCCAAGTAAGTAGAGTCGGTTGACCTGGATGATGATGACATGGAGGCGTGTTCATTAGGGCAAAAAAAAACAAAGGTTTTCACCTCCAAGTCCAACCCACTTAAAAACGCGAAAGCAACAGCGTTTATATCAGCAGCAGCACTCATACAATAATTATAAGGTATGGTTTGAATTTTAGATGCAATTGCAACTCTCATGGCCAGCCATACAAATCCCTAATAAGTGCCCCACCCCCGGCGAACACACGGTATTGCAATCTTCAAGTCAAACTTTGTCACGCCAACGACTTGCTTGAATTAAATAGACCCAACCAACTAACAAGTATAATTGATTATAATATTAGTGTCACTAATCAAAACCAAACCCCACAAAATAATGAAAGTTTACTAATTGCACCTCAAGCAAAGCGATTGAGTTTCGTAAGTGTGATCTTTAAATTGTGATTTAGGAAATTAACAGTTACGATTATAACATATGTATATGGTGAAGATTTGTTCAGAGGATTTCACTAATAAGCTCATCTTATGAAAAAGAGATATTTAGTCATATACCTATTCTTAGTATTAATAATATAGATAAATCATACACCATTTAATTTCTATAAATAAACCTAAAAAATGACAGCTGGCCTATTGAATTTAATTTTGATTATTAAATTACTTTGATGTCCTGTTGAGTGTTTTGGATTTTTTTAATGAGGTTTTGGGGTTGGGTTTGTTTTAAGAAATCAATGGAAGTTTTGTAATTTAAAAGAAGTTAAAAGTCTTTTTATTATGTTGTAAATGAGTTTTTGGTTCTTATATTAGGTATAATAGGGAATCTCCTATAAAAAGTACCGCGTATAGGCACGAAATTGCATTCACACTTTGGTTGGCTTAGCTAAAGACCCCAAAGAAGAAGAAGAAGCCAATCACTCGGTCAGTTCATGGATACCGAAGCTTCACCGTAAGTCTCTCTCTCTCTCTCTCTCTCTCTCTCTCTCTCTCTCTCTCTCTCTCTCCTGTATTTTCCAACGCACATGAAAAATGAATTTGATCATGACCAAGAAATTTTCTTCGGAAATATTTGAACAAAAGGGGAAGACTTTGATTCGTTAATTAATCATATTCATATATGCTTATATATTTTCATGCAGGTTTGAGAGCAGTGAGATGGTGGCAAGTTTCTTGGCCTCGACGCCTTTGCTGAGCGAGGCATGGAAGCTATGCAGCGTAGCCAACACGGCGGCCGCTGCTCCATACGGCGGCTTTGTACCCCACCAAATCGGAGATGTCGGTTACTTTGCCTTTTCCAGCAACGTAACTATGACATCATCACTATCATCACCATCATCATCATCATCATCATCAGAAGAAGAAGAAGAATATTCGAGACGCAGCAGGAATCTGGTGGCGTTGGGTAGCGCTGGCCACGGCCTTTTTTCTCCATTAACCAATAATAATGGAGAGGAAGAGGCCGTCATGGTGCATGCAGGGCTGCTCAATCTCTTCCTGGGCTGCTTCCAAGCTGTCCAAAACCAGGTCAGATAATTGATATGAATTCACGCATTTCTTTTCTTTTTTTGCCTTGATTGCGACACGTATTTACTTTTTGTTTGTTGTCTTGCGCCCCAGGCAATCCCTAGATATAATATGAGCCCTTTTTCTTGTGTTCTTTTCTACTTTTTATAAACTGACAGTTATTACTGGGAAAGAATAGTTTTTTTACAGATAGTCCCATTCGAACATGATATTTTATATAAAAACTCTTACAACGCTTCTTTGAAGGAAAAAAACAAACCTCAACTATTGCCATTTTCTGATTAGTTCGTAGTGTGTTATAATTTTTTCACTTGAAAGTACATGTTGGAGTTTTTCTAATCTAAAGTATCGGACTTGAAGGAAATTTTTATTTTTATCTTTATAAATAAAATGTAAATGTTAGAATGAACCAATTTGTGAAATCCCGAGAAAAAAAAAGGTAGAGTAGTGGAACAAAATATGAACATTATTGTTGCATATTATATGCTAATAATCAATGATAAATGTCTAATAAGAAATCATAATTAGATTTAAAAATTGAATAAAGGGCCTTTGATTGGTTTAACTGTAAATACAAGTCAAGTAATTTGTTCATAAATCATAATTAGTCAAGTCAATAGGTTTAGTAATAGTGGTATTTCGCTTTCATTTGTTCTTTATTTGACAAGACAAATAAATAAACAAAATACAGAAGCATAGACAACTTCGCTTTCTGAATAGAATATTGCCCACGACACTTTTCAAAGTGGCCTCGTTTTCCAACTCCTTTTGTACTCCTGCGCGTTGGCTGCGTGCATCGGCTGCTGCTGGCCAAAAAACAACAAAAATATTTCAAAAAGTTATGAATCTTTCTACTCATTTTCCAATGTTTTCACCCAAATTCAAAAGTGATATTTTAGGCTATGATTGTTATCTTAGAAAAAAAAACAAACAAACACAAACTTTTAAGCATGTAGTGGCCACTGGCCAGGATGCAATTCAATATTTCTGATTAGGAAAATTTCTACAAGGGGCAGTCGTATTTTTGTGCTTTATCTCTCTTCTCACGTAACTTAATTACTTTTACGAGAGAAATCAACACAAGAAAGCATATATCGTATAACACTTGGTTTCAGTCCAACAAAAGACACATATGATATTTTGAGATAAAGGATAGTTAATCTTAGCTAGTTATCAAGTGCCATGAAAACATTCTCTCTGCATGCCAACTACCAGACAGACTTGAATTCAATTGTCTACGTCAAAAGTTCTATTTCAAGTCATGCATTTGCTTGGTATTTGAAGTATAAATTGGAACTCGTTTAAGCATGTTTATTTATTTATTTATAATGATTGGTGTTCACCAAAACACAAAATTAGCAAGAATATTTTTTTTTGGTTTGATACAAGCAACGTTAAAGAAGAGGAATCGAACCGAAAACCTCGAATGATTAAGCTACAAGCCCCTTACAGTAAGAATCTTTAATAAGCAAAAGCTAAAAGCAATTTTAACAAAACTTAATTTGTATTCACTTTAACTTCTCCCTTATCTCCCTACCTAGCCCTTTTTTGTCGCATTTATATGTGGATTAGGAATTAGCTAGAATTAGAATTCTGTGTTTGAACCTTGAATTGTGGTTGGAGGCTTTCCTGCGTGTTTGGCTGGTTGTTGCATTATTAATTTGACAAAAAGAAGAATTCGTACCAACGAACAAAAAGCAAATTTACGAGTGGTGTTGACAAGATTGCTTTCCCACTGCCAAAATCTTTAGTCAACAAATTGCCAAAATAAATTATATTTCTTTCTATGACCAAAATTAAGAAAAATAAAATTATTTATTCTTATGATAGGTACATCTGGAGTCTCTTTAGAGCATATCTAGTGGTGAGGTAGGTGTTTGGCCTAACAAAATTACACTGTTTATAAAATCTAGTATGTCTTGTTCTTGTACACCCTAATAAAATTTACTTCATAATTAGTTTATTTACAACATTTATTATTATTTTTTGTTCAAATGAAAGACTTCATTAGGGTGACTTAATGGAACCCAACAATCCTATTTTTGGATACTCTTTACACCTACATACAATTTTAGATATGTCACTGCTCAACTCTTAGACATGTCCACCAACAAGGTATTCTGTTCTTTAGAAAGTCACCCTGCAAATAAATGACCTTCAAGATACTATGAAGTAGTATGGTTATGTACTCCACAAACCATCTCCACATTTCCTGGTGCTAGATGCTTTTTCATATTACCATTTACATCTGACCTTACATCATTTATCTCACTATACTTGCAAGGCTCATATTCATCATTTCTCTTATATGCAAGTTTTACTCGAGGTCTCTTCAACCTCTTCCTTTCACCTTCAGAATTAGACCACCTAATAACAATTATGATATTATTCATCTTTCCCCTATCTAACTAAGACATTTTTACCTTTGAATATCTATACATTATACTCATGTT